TTACGTGGAAACAAAGAATTTGCAGTAGATTCGAAACGTTTATCATGAGAACTTATTTGCGCCGAGTTCAAGAGAATTTATTTAATACATTTTATGTAAACTCCCCTCGGATAACATTCGATGTACATCGTGGAAAAATAAATTCATTCCTCTTGAATAAAATAAAATTTTCCATTTTTACTGCACGTTTACTCAATGTTAATCTGTATTTCCTTGATCGATTTTTTAAGTAATACAGAGCACAGATGGTTAAACATTTGCTTACGATATTCTTGAAATATGTAATAGAATAATATATTTGTTATTATATTTTCGTAGACAGTGAAAGAGAGAGCGTATCGAATAATCGCCGTTGGAAATTTCGCGATAGAACTGCGATGTGTATTGCTTATATTTATTACTTATAATACGAGTGCGTGAGTGCACGCATAATACTTGCTTCGTACGATGCAATAATCTTAAGCGCGTGCAACAATCTTACCATCAGATTGTGGAGTGATCGTCGTGTTCGCGTGTCTGTGCATATACCCTTGTTTTATTGTTTTATTTATACTGTATATTTAATACAAAACATCATGAAACCAAAACTGTGGATAATTTATTTTGTGCAACTACCTACCTACGATTATTATCTAGCGTCTTTTTGGTAATAATAAATTACTTACAATTTGTGTACCATTTATCTAATAGTCGTTACAGTTTCGTTTGGTATGAGGATCGTTCGTAACGAATAATACCGATTACCAGGTCTCACCACGCGCCTAATTCGCGTCATCAGTATGTAAAGCGTAGCTGGGAAGCAAAGGATGTTAAAATAGTTTTGAATGACCCTACATTTATAGATCACTGTGGTCGTCTGGAAGGCTGCTCTCCTATCACGAACGAAACTCACATTTGAGAAAAGAAAAGAAGCTTACGAATTGAATTCCTCTAATGAGACCCTTTCTTATTTAATATGCATTTAACCAGAATTAATATGGACTCAACTCAAGCTTGAATTAGAATCTATCAGAGCCCAGACTTGGACGCTTTTCAAATGATGGCACCTGAAATATTGTAATTAATTAACGTTAATTGGCTTTATGATCGTTTCAATGGAAATATTTTAAGTAACACGTGACTTTATTGTATAGTCATTTCATTTTTGATGTACGGATCACTCTAAACACACGAAAAATTAAAAAGGTATCTTTCAATCGATTCATTGTCCTAAAAAGAACAAATTAAAAATTGCTAATTTTAGTTTTCCATTTATTGCTTAAACTAGTAGATTACTAGAAAAATCTTGCATTGTTTTGCTTCAGGAAAAGACCAACTGCGGGCCAACTTTTGGAGCATCGCTGGCTGGACGTGGCTTTGGAGAACCCGATTTGTAAAGTTAGATTAAAGCGGTACGTCATCAAGAAGAGATGGGTTAAAGCGGTTAACACAATCCTGGCGTTAAGACGAATGGGCGCCCACTTTGATTTAGATTTAGTCTGACGATCTATCCTCTATTCGCTAAATTAATCCTCACGGTAGACGTTTGACGAGCGCGTTAATAATGTTAAGATTAGTCGACCATTTCTGAGCGAAATATCAAATGCAAACGCTTCCAACGAGCTTAGATTAATATCATTTGAGCTTAGATTAGTATAAATTAAGCTTAACTTGTAGTAAACATTCGAAGTATTAGTATCTTTCATTATTTGTATTTTAACAAGCAAAACATTCGTACGTGTAACGAAATCTGTTGGGGAAAGTGGAAGAAACGTTTTCCACGAGATCAAATTTAGAGTTTAGAGCGTTCCAATTTGTACGTTTTGATTAGATTGAGAACGTTTATGCATTTATCGCAAATAGAGATATGGGGATATTTATGAGAACGTGAACAAATGCAAAAGTATATCAAATATTAACAAATATTAATAGTATATTGTACTTTTTATAAAGATAAGACGTACTTTCATTTTAGCTTCAATTATTTTTCTGTGTCTGTGAAAATATGCATAAACATCCGCGGTCTAATTATGATGTACAATCACAGTGCCCCGGTTTATATATACGATTGCGTGAAACAGTATTATATAATTGGCATGTGATCCGACGAAACGGTTAAAATAATTCCAAAGGCGTGCCACATTAACAGACCATTATACAATAATACTCATTGTTTTGTAATTAAGTAGTTGTAATCGAAACAGTAACACGAAATGTTAATTTTTTTTGGTAGTATACCGTATATATGTAATTTAAGAGAAAAATGCATTGAGTTATTTGTATTAATATTCCCTTTATATCGTGAATTTTAAAGACCCGTAGTTTTCATTTTCATTCTGAACGATATTCTTAGACGCCATTTTCTATGTGCATACGTATGCAAGTATGCATGCTATATGACAAATTTGTTGTACAAATAAAAGATGCAGTATTTGAAATGAATCTTTATAATATAACTACTTATCAGTGGGGAATTAACAAAGTATGTACATGTATTTATAAAAGGGTATATATGAAATGATAATTTTGTAAATAAATATCGTTCTGATCAGTTCACCGTAGATCTCAATTTATTTGTCGATTTATCGTGTGCATCTATTGAAACTTTTGTATGATTCCAATGTTGTAATATATGTGTATCTACATATGTATTGTGAGGAAAAAGAAAAATCAGATATGGAAAGAATTTGTTAAGTTAGATATTTTAGTCAGCTCTCGTCGTTATCTACATTTCATTTATTAATAGTGCAAGCATATTTTTTTAAAATTTGGAAATGATCTCTCTTTTTTCTCAGAACAAATTGTTAATTTTTCCTCTGTCACTGTGTATATATAATTTTCTCAAGAGTTTTGTGATTTTCATTTATATTTTCAACAGTGTCCACAGACTTAATAAACATTCAGTTCCATTCAACGTTATTGTGGCAAGTTCCCAAGGAAATTCCCTTTCATAGTTAATAATATGAACAAATAGAATAATATTGCTTTTTTCTTGTTTTAATTGCATAGGTAATCACAGCTGCATCGTGGTAATTTATTCAGCGTTGAATATAAGTATTAACAGAGGATAAAGGTAGTTTTAGATGTGAAAAGATTGGAAATAATTAGTTTTTAGTGTAAAATAATTTTCTTGTTTCATCATTGAGTATAATAAAGTGCTTTTTCTTTGATTTGCGAACTTCTACTATTTTCTTTATGTTCCATAATGTTATGGTGCTTCTATCCCCATTTTATTGTTTTCATTAAAAAAGAATAAACAAATCATACAAAATTGTAAAAGTTATGAAAATATCAAGGAATTATGGTTTTTGGTAAAAATGGATTAATTGTTTTGCACATAAACAGCTATCTTTCTAAGAATCGTCTTGTGCCAACGGTTACGTTCTCCGCTCTATGTACAATAAATACCGAAAGGTCGTCTTTGACGCCACCGCGGCAAAATACATATACACTCTGGGACTCGAAATTCCTGAGGCTCACGCGCGATTGGAATTCGCATTATGTAAATACTCATATGTAACGCAGCGGTTCGCTACTTTAAATAAAGTCTTCTACAGTGTCGCACAGGACAAGAAACCGCGCGATGTTATACTTATATTAATAGCTATAGTTCCACCTGTTGTACGACGTCTCTTGTTCCTAATCGCGACTGTTTTCCTCTTGTTCGTTATTTAGAAAAAATGTAGGACGATTTAACCCTTTTGACCTTAGTGGAATATCGAGCGTGAGTCACGCAAGACTTGTACCTAAAATATCTCCGTTGTTTTTAATGATACAAAGATTTCCAAAGGAAAATGTTCGGTTCAGAGAGGGTCATACTATGACGGAAAGAAAAATTAGTTCAAGATCAAATTTTATGAAATTTCAAGGTCATCAATATTTTTTTTAATGGAATGGGGTATTTTCCACATTGTAATCTTGTAGCTCATAAAAAGAAAAATTCAAACAGGTATAATATGTTGATTTTCGGATGACCATTGATATTGGGTTGAGCGAGTAACCTTCCAATCCGTAGTGGAATTATCGTATACACTAGATTATCGTAACAATTTGCTCAAATCTCGCGACATCTGTTAATTATCAATGGACTATGTATAAAAATAAGAAAACAATAATAAAACTTCTTTGAAAAATGTATTGTAATGTACATTATTACATAAATAATATTATACGGCGATTAACGGGGTGACAAATACTAGCGCATCTAGCGGAGGACCTCGAACTAAATTTTATATACACTATATCTATATATATCATTTTAGCATTTTCAACAACCAGGTTTTGAACGGGAGATGTGGCGCCATCTATCCACAACAGCCTCAAGTTTGTCGAGAACTAGTTCCTGTTTTTCACTTCTAGATGACGCTATAAACCCATTCAAAATTAGATTGATAAGAATTATAAAAAAAAAACGTTTTCAATGGAATGCATAACTCCTATCAAAAGCATATATAAAATAATATAATAAATAGAAATGATTTAATTAAAAAACTATATTAGTGGCACCATCTAGCGGCATAAACGAAGTACTATTTCTCGACAAACTTGGGGCTTGTTTGTAGAGATGGCGACACTACTTTCGTTTAAAACCTGGTTGATGAAAATGATAAAAAAACATTTTTTTAGGCAAATTTCAGCATTATGATGTCTACAATAGAATAAATAAGTCATATTAAAAGTATCTAGTAAATAATATAATAAATAACATCTTTATAAAAAAAACCATCGTAGTGGCGCCATCTAGAAGTGAAAAATAGGAACTATTTCTCGACAAACTTGAGGCTGTTATGGATAGATGGCGCCACATTTTTCGTTCAAAACTTGGTTGTTGAAAATGCTAAAATGATATATATAGATATAGTGTATATAAAATTTAGTTCGAGGTCCTCCGCTAGATGCGCTAGTATTTGTCACCCCGTTAATCGCCGTATAATATTGTTTATATAATAAAGCACAATACGATACATTTTCAAAGAAGTTTTATTATTGTTTTCTTATTTTTATACATAGTCCATTGATAATTAACAGATGTCGCGAGATTTCTGCAAATTATTACAAAAATAGTCTTCAACTTCGTTTGTTGTCATTGCTGTCAGCATTCATTTTTCAGCATTCATTCATTTAGTTTTACAAAAATGGAGTGTAAACAGCGTTCTGCAACAAAATCAAAAGTAATGTCGTGTTAACTTTACATTTTGCAACGTATAATAGTCGTTTTCTCTTAAATTATCCAGCAAAAAAGCAATTCTCTAAGTTTTAAGGTTATGTTTTTGAAATCTTTCTGCGAAATTTGACTAAACATATGCAATATAATGAAGACCAACATGTGTTTGGGTTTCAGGGAGATACATTACAGAATTGGAGCCCATATGCCAAAGAGTATGATCCTTTAAAGTCTGGCAGTATCGATGGAACAGATACAGAGCCACACGATAAAGCTATTAGTCGTGCAATACAAGCTCATTATGAACCACCTCATGGGTTAAAATCTAAACCTGAGAGAACCTTGTTCGTGGCTAGATTTGGCCCAAAAATTACAAAATACGATTTGAAAGAGGTATTGCCTTTTGATGGGAATACGATTAAATGCATTTTAAATGTTAATATGTTTAGTTTTTTTGCAGGTACGGAGATGTTCTTTCTGCAAAAGTCATAGTCGACGTTGTAACTGGCCTGTCCCAAGGTTATGGATTCGTAGAAATGAGAAACGAAGACGAGGCTAGGAGAGCAATTAGGCGTTGCGCGGATACAACGCTGAAGGGTTACAAAATTTTTGTCGATCACGAGTGTGGTCGCACCATGAAAGGCTGGAAACCAAGGAGACTTGGTAAATTTAATTAGTAATGTGCCGATCGCTTATGTCCTATTAACGTATCATGTTTGCAAATTATACTAATTTTTAGGCGGTGGTTTCGGTGGGAAGAAAGAATCAGGCCAGCTGAGGTTTGGTGGAACTGATAGACCATTCAAGAAACCAATTGTACCCAATATTATAAGGCATAATTGATATAATTTTGTATTTACAAATATTTATTTTTAAGTTGAATGTTTTCGGTTTTGTACGATAAACAATGATTAAATAAAACACTATTAAAATGCTTAAAAAATGTTACTTTGTTTCTCCCGTGTCTAATGAGGAGATTTGCCAGTAAACAGTTTTAATTTTGACTTTGTTCCAATACAAACATGCGAGACTCATATTTCTCCTGTGTCCTCTAGACATATTATCAGCAATTATAGTAATGCACCCGATGAAACGGAACATTAATAGTAAATCTGTTTCTTGAGTTAATTCCACGGAATGCAAACAAATATTCGTAAATTAATTATAACTATTGCAGTTATTTTCAAAAATTAATTTTGACTTCATTAAATTTTACGAGTTCAACAGAACTCGGATATTACAGATACTTGGAAGAATTCTTTCCCTTTCATCAAATTTATTTTATATATAAATTCTTTTGGTACATAACTCTTAGCGACATTGTCGTCGATGTTATTCCGAGAAGTTTTTTTTAGCATTGGATAAGTTCTGGTAGTCGCCAAATCTTCTCGGTGAGTTATTTTCTTGTCATCGTATTCTAAAATTACGAAATATATAATAAAAAAAAAAAAAGAAAAGAGTCATTTTTTGCAGTAGGTATATGACAAGTGGGTTTAAACTAGCATACATATAACAGTCGAAGTAGAATGTAATCTTTCGTGCTTTAATAAATGTAATTATTTTAACAGATTTAGTTTAATTTTATACATAAATATTAGCCAGTTTATTTGTAACAGAAGGACTGGTTAACTCAATCGTCGGGTCATTTCGAAATATTCAAGATGGCAGCTATTTATGCGTGGCCAGAAGCCCAGTGAATTATTTAACTTTACCCGAAATGAGTTAACTTGTTAGTAACTTTTAGACAAGGTAATAGCGGTTCGTACAGGAATATCGTAACTGGCATAAATTTATTAAACGAACTCGGCTCTATTTTAATGAAAATCGCTGGTACCATACTTTCTGGTCTGTCTATCAACATCCGGTATCATCCAACTTGGGGGATTATCGAAATTGGCTGATAAAATTTAACTATTGGGGGGTCGGGGGTTAAATTACACGGACGCAAAAATGTAGCGTTCATAGAACGACCCAAGGGGAACAATTAATCTGTGAGCACGCGAGAGCAAGTAAAGCCAAGGAGGCGAGCTTTCTGGCGCGACGTGTTCAGCGTCGTGGAACTTTATACCCCAGCGTCGAGGCGCCCTCTCCCCGGCATGGCCCCCTCCATATAAGGAGCCTGCCTCGTGGTTCGAACGTCGACCACGCGCGGTTGTAGTTTGAGCCTCCAGGCTGCCTCTGATAAGGTAGCCTCCTTCTTCGACGTCTCTCTGCTTCCACGTCTTAGCCAAGGTCTCCCAGAGGGCCAACCCACATTCGTTTATCGCGGCTCCTATTTCGTCGGCTCGTATGCTGCTCCCGTTTTCAAAACAACGCTGTTCGTCGTGCTTTTTTTATTCACGGACACAGCTGCCCTGTGGCAAACCTCGTACGGGCCATTCCACGCCAAATCGATCGCATTCGCGCCTCTATGTCACGGATTTTCCTTTTGAACGTAGGCATTGTCATTTTGTGCGATGGTGGAGGTGTTCTCAGATGGTGATAAGAAGAACTTGTTAGTATGAGCGTGCAGAGTTTTTAATATATGCTTGGTTCTAGTTTGAGTGACTGGGAGATTGTTTTGAAATTTCGCATGTGTGGAACATTGAAAAGTATATGACACGTATTTTTTTCATTTTGGTCAGACTCATATTTTGGGGGTGAAGGTAACCGTCAAAGATCATAAGAAAATTAATGAGATTTCTTTGGTCTTGGAGAGAATGCATACGATGGAATATACTTGAACAAATTTAGTCGAAAGTTTTCGACTTTGTTCTAGGACGAAATGCACGCACCTCTAAACTGACATGCAGGTAAAGTGATCGATTTGACGTGGATGGCCCTAACTCGGGGACCACTCGACGAAATTGCAGAGGAATTCCCCTGTTCGGGGAAATTTGCAACTTCGTTGCTCTGTGGGGAACAATTTTCATCCAATCTCATCTTCTTAAGCGGGTTTAGGTTTGTAGTAATGACCTTCTTGAGGACAATTCTATAAAGTTTTAATTCAATCAAAGTCAAGGAATAAAATTAAAAGAAAAACAAAAGTAATAATTTTTGATCTAACATTATATTCATAAAAGAAGTATATTGTTTTACTCTGTTTGCATTGTTGCTGTAAAAATAGTGTCGTGCATAATGTATCGTCTTCGGTAAGTATGATGTAAGGAATCACTATCGAAGGGATTCGTGTTGTCATCGCTGGAAGATAGATATATTTAGTGCTCTGTCGCGTAGTCGGGTAGGCAGTAAAGCTTTGTGGCGAACATAAATACGAAATGGTTACGAGACAGATATCATGTAGCTATATCAGCATCAGAAATAACTTACTCCATGGAAAAATTTACCATCGAGCTTTCGTTTCTGCATAGCAGTTTCTAAGCGCGAAACGAAAAAACACAGAAAAAAAGGCTACATTAATTAATTAAACTATGATAATGTATTCACTATTAAGTTAACCGTATTTCTTTCTCCAAAATTGTATTACAAGTTGCAAACGACCTGCTTAAGTTACAATAATATATTTATTTAATATATTTAACCACAATAAAATGTTAAATGTATACGTTTAATAATACATCAGTTACCCGTACTTCTTCAAGTAACATTTTATTGGAAAAGTATACGATGTGTCGTGGATTCTCATCTTCACGATCTAATTCGAGAGATCCGAGCTTTTATCGCAGATAAGGGGAGAATTTTTCGCGAAGCTTTCCCGAGCGCATACCGCAGAATCCTCCTAAGAGGGGCGAGAGGATATTTCCGAAAATGGAAGACAAGAAATCGTGCTTTTAGCGCTTTCGATTTTTCTAATTCGCCGCAATTTCCGGACTCTCGTTTTTCTCAGCGTGACCGCGGTTACGAGTCTCAGGATTTTCCAACCGACCATTAAAAATACACTTCCATTTTCTCCTTTCCTTGGCGGTGGCGAACGTACGCCGGAAGGGAAGCGTAAAGGAAATGTGGAAAGGTTTGCGAGTGGCTGGCACACTTTCGAATAAATTGCTATTTTTAAATGACTGAAATTACGCTCGTACTCTAGATTATAGGAATTAAAGCTCTTTTCATCTAGTGGAGATATTTATCCCCCACCAAGTTGAAATTTCTCCTTTGTTGGTTCGGAACAATGGTATCATTTATTCCTGCACGAATGCAGGGAACAGGAACAATCTTTTGAAGGGTAAAATCTTTATTGAGCCACTTGAAACACTCATTTCGAGCGCCATTTTGACTCTTTCACTCTACTTATGCACCTACGGTGATATACCTGGCATGCGTAACTAAGTTCACGTCTTAATCGTAGTAACGCAAACTGAATTGGTGAAATAAATGAACCTTTACATTAAAGAAATGTTGTCTGTTTATATTCATGGTCCTCCTGAGTGTCTTCATATCAATCGACTATAACGACATAAAGAAATTGTGTTCGACACAGAAAGTGACAACAATGTGCAGACAAATTTAAAAAATTAAATATAATTCTTAAGAGGCTACCGATTATTTATTTTCTGAAACAATTATAAGAACTATTTTCACTGTTATTATAACAACCACTTTATTCGATGTATTTTAATGTAAATAAAATCTGCAATTCTATGTTGGTTACTCTCGCGTATCCAACTTTGTACATTTAAATTTAACTGTAATACCAAAAGATCGAGAGACAAGTCTAAGTCACAATTTGAAACGTAATAATTAATGCTCGCCTGAAGGCAGCTAAATATTGATCTTCGTTAAAATAATTAAACGTCTCTATCGTGCGTGTGGGTACAGTGTACATATTATATTATCATACAAAGGTAATTTCCATAATGACGAGGTACAACCAGCGACTGCTTTCGAACCTAACATCAAAGTTGTTGTGCAAACAGTTAGGGTAAAATAAACTGAATAATCTAAGAGAAACAAGGTAAGAAAGATCAAGTAAGATGGTAGTTAAGACGGACGAAATTAAGCGAAGTGTGTTAAACATGTAAGATAAGCTTGGAATATAATGTAGTTAATGCACAACAACTACCATAATTCATTTTGTTCGTGCTCTCATACGTTGTTGACTTTTATAAGAAGCTTACCGCACAGATACATTGCACGAAAACTTGAGAAATTTGAAAAATGTCAAAGTCTTTAAAATACAGGTCAGATGTCAGGCTGCTAAAACAATCTTTATTCGAAACAGTGAAACTCGATTGTAACAAGCATCGATAGCTGAAGCCTGACTGATGTGACACGATAATTTTAATTTATGTGTTCTCATACATTGTCTACCTATATATGAAACCATGAACAAACAATAGCCTTCTCAAGATCGCAAAAACTGATTGAAGAAGACTGCGTTACCGTCGCGGTGGACTCCTAATGAAGGTATTCGAAATTCGCCTGTCCATCCCTTCCCAGATCCATCTGGTCTCATCGATGATTCGCGGCGGACGGCGGTGTTGCGGGGGCGTAACAAGAGCGAAAAGGTGGTACGAGGCGGGAAAAACGAGCGGATCTACACGGGATCTAAGAAGGGACGAAAATAGTAGCGTGCCAGGATCGTATCACGCTCGCGCCCCACGGACGTGGATCTGCTATCTATTAATAGCGTTGGACGAAAGGGAGCGATCGAGTCAGGCCGTAGCCGTGTAGGCATCGTTCCGAGTCTTGGTGCTGTCCAGACTCTGCCCGCAGGACTTCAGAGCCGCTCGAGCTGTCGCGGACTCCACATTCCACCAGCAAAAGCTCTTCGTGACGTGCCTGTTGGAAGCATCTGTTGCTCGGCTGGTGCCCCGAGGCGAACCCTCATACCACCACATACACACTCTCCCACCCACCCACACGTCCAACACACATTGCCACACATTCACACCGTTCGAGTGTAAGTTTCACCATTTTTCATTGTGCTCATTAGTTAACAAATAAATCGGTCGATCGAGTGACGTCCCCCAAGGAAACGCGTTCTCCGAGTTTTCAACTCTGCTCGGT